AACTGCTGTTCTTGATTTTCAATCTGATTCTAAGTAATCAATGGTGTTTGCCAAGTCAGGAAAAGCCAGCTAAAACTGGCTACAGAGACCTTTCTACGGGAGCAGGAATGTGACTACAAGTGATGTAACTGGGAGCAAAAAACTGTAGCCTAAAGCCACTGAAATGCGGGGAAAGGAGTAACACAAATCAGTGGAGGGAATCAGAAGTTAGGTGGAAGAACCCATTTTCCCCTGGGCTGCTCTGGGGGCAGGAGAGGTGGACCCACAATTTCCGATGTTAGCAGGGGAGGCTGTCTGTCAAATGATTTCGGTACTGCCAGTGACATCCAATGAAGTAACACTGATAGCCATGACTACTATTAACTGAGTGCCCTCACAGTACGTTATTTCATTTAATCCTCACTATAAACTTTATGAGTTACATACTTTTCTCAATGTCACAAAGTGACTGGCAAAGCTGGAATTCAGACTCAAATCTGACAGATGCCACCGTCCATTTTCATAGCCACTTAACAATGCAGCTGATGTGATGTCTGTTGTTGATTAGAGCCTTAAGAAAGCATATCAACAGCTGGCTTGGCCACAATAATGTGTTTGGCAGGAAACAAAAAGGGAGGGTAGGAGAGAACAGGGCTGTCTGCATTATTTTTATTTTTAACAAATTGTCCAAGGTCATCTAACTACTAGTGAGCAGTGCCTTTGATTCACTTCATCAGCTCCGTGATCTCCCGTCACACTGTGCTGCCTTCCACAGCAGGTTCTTAAGAAAGACAAGTAGACAGAACATGATAAGGCCATTACATAACTTGTCAAATGCTTACTGAGGACTGTCATAGCCAGGCGAATCCCAGGCATGAAGAAGGCAAAGAGTGTTAGGATACAAAGAGCAAATCTTTGACTAAACACTCCCCATCTGTATAAAGTCAGATGGTCAGAAATGTTCACTTTAGTATATTTAACCCAAAGAATACTCCCCAGGAGTGGAGAAGTAATAACTTTTCTTCCCTGGGGTTTTTCTGGTTTTTGTCTCTGCTCACACATACTGCTTAGACCCAACCCAGCTAATAAAATCAGTCCATATCAGACAAGAGTTTGGCTCAGGAAAGCTGACTGAAGAGCAGGCACAATCACATCCAGGCAACTGCTGCCCACATGTTCCATCTACACTTTACAGAGCTGCAGCTGAAACCTCTCTCAAGAGGCCTGTTAATTGAAGAAGGGCTCCATTCTAACTGCTGCAGGCTTTACCGTCTATCGACCACCCTGGATGCCTTTGCAACTTGCCCATAGATAGGTCAACCTTGTAGCTGCCCAAAAATACAGGATATCCAAACCAGAAGAGGCCACACTGAGGTTTTTATCACAGAAGTGCAGGGCTGTCTGCATTGTATTGTTCTTATAAATAAATCACCTCTGGGAGTCACGCCCTGTTCAGGCCATCGAAGAATTCCTGCCTGCAGGTACCGGCATGTGCCTCCCTCACATGCTGACTCCAAAGCACTCCCGATTCAGGGCTATGTCTTCTGATGGCCCAACTTGGGACCCCATGCTGGGGAGGAACTCGGGTTGCAGGTGAGGGAGAGTTCAAGTCTTGGGGTGTGTGGGAGTGTTTAAGAGCAGAGTCTCAACCTGCACTAGATTTGCAGCTGTGCCATTTGCTAGCTGTGTAACTTGGGTAAGTGAAGAACTCGGAGCCCTAGCTCCATCATCTGAAAAATGAAGGTAACATCACCTCTCACTTAGGATTCTTTTAAGGATTAAATATCACAATGCATTACTGTGCTGGTGAAGGCCTGGCAGATGGTAAACATTCAAAAAATGTTAGCCACCATGCTGCTGCTGCTAGGATTGCGTTTGAAAAATCGAAGTTAGATGGTGGGAATCTTCACCCTCATAGAAAGAAAGATAGGGCTAGAATGGACACTGTTGCAGCACCTATAAAATAGGAACAACAGAAGCTACATAAAATAGGTTGTGGATATGTGCTGAGAACAACGAAGCCCTGCCCATGGTGAATACTCAACAAATGTTATCTATTCCCTTAAGTGTTTCCAATCTTGGATCACATGATGAGAAATCTTTATGATACAGCCCCACAAGTATTTGAATCACCAAAATAATGAGCAGAGTGGGTCCCTGCGCAGCCAGCAAACACTGACCATTAAGCACTCATGGAGGTTCTGAGCGTGAAACCCTAGCATTTACCAGTCGTGTGACTTGGAGAAGTTCCCTAACCTCTTCTAATAACAGCAGTTATCTGGTAGGTCGTGGCAACAATCACATATGGCAATATGAGTAAAGCATTTTCTATTACCTGGCCCTTAGTAAGTGCTTACTTAGTATTAACTAATGTTCTTATTACTGTCAGAAGTTCTTCATAGGACTCCTATTTCATAAGGTAACTAGGCATGGAATTAGATATGAGAAGGTCATTTTCCACCTGTGTATCTTTGTTGCCTAGTCCAGCACATGGCCGAGTGGAAGCTTAATAAAAGATTGCTGAATAAATGAATAATTGTTAGACAGCCTCAGTGATAATTACTAATTGATCTAAGTCTGTTAGCAGGATTTCTGATATCAGATGGGTGGCTGGTCACAACTGGCATGATAGTTAAAAAATCTCAGCTGGGGCTGGGCCAGTGGTGTAGCGGTTAACTGTGCACGCTCTGCTTTGGCGGCCCAGGGTTAGCAGGTTCGGATCCCGGGCGCGGACCCGTGCACAGTTCGTCAAGCCGTGCTGCGGCGGCGTCCCATATAAAGTAGAGGAAGATGGGCATGGACTAGTTAGCCCAGGGCCAATCTTCCTCAGCAAAAAGAGGAGGATTGGCAATAGATGTTAGCTCAGGGTTAATCTTCCTCAAAAAAAAAAAAAAAAACACACACCTCAGCTGGGCCGTCTGAAGCAAGCTGAAGACCTCTGAGGAATCACCCTAAAGGTTCTGCCGGGGGAAAGGGACAGAGGTAATGTATGGACCTGCTCAAGGTCCATAAAGGCCAATAATTTTTTTTTTTACTTTTTTTTTTTTTGGTGAGGAAGACTAGCCCTGAGCTAACATCCGTTGCCAATCCTCTTTTTGCTGAGGAAGATTGGCCCTGGGCTAACACACATGCCCATCTTCCTCTACTTTATATGGGGGATGCTACCACAGCATGGCTTGATAAGCGGTGCATAGGTCCCTGCCTGGGATCTGAACCTGCGAACCCCAGGCCACCAAAGTGGAGCACGAACTTAACCACTACGCCAGTGGGCCAGCCCCAAAGGCCAATGATTTTTAAGATGCACATAATCATCTAGCAGGAAGGGCTCGGCCACAGTTATGTACTGACCACTTTCCGTGTGTCGCAGTCTGTGAAGGGGCAGAAGACAGACGAACAGGACCTGATAAGCGCCCCTGGAGGGCATACAGTCTAGTAAGATAATGGGTCCTTCAGGAAGAGAGGCTGAAGGGAAGGGGCAGATGGACTCATGTCAGACAGACCTGTGTTTCAGTTTCTGACTCTGCCAGCTACTAGCCAAGTCGTGTGCTTCTTTGTGCTTCAGTTTCTTCATCTGTAATATGAAGGTGATAATACCACACGGATTGTAGGGAGGATTAAGTAAAATAAATCTTATGAAGTGTGTGGCATGAAGAAGTACTTAGTAAGTGGTACTTCCTTTCCTCCTCCAAAGAGGGAAATCTAAACATGGCTGTGAATAATGAAAAACTGCCAGTGTAATAAACGCCCATCCCTCATTTCTACTATCCTGTTAACAATTAATTGCTTATCATAACTTGAGACACCACCTGGCACAGGGTACTGAAATTTACCCATGAGCTTTTCCTCCAAGCTGGGATTACTGGGTTCAACTGCATGCACCTTTGTAAAGACTCCTGGTATATTCTGCCATTTCCATTCCCATTTGATACACTTTTCATTATAATCTTTGCATCTTTAAGGATTAAAAAATAATTTCTTGCTAGTTTTAAAAGGGCAAAATAGTAATTACTTATTTTACTGTGCACGTCTTTGACTAACACCAAGATTGAAACTTTTTTGACAAATCTATCAAAATTACAGGACTTTTAGCTGGATATGGGTGATACAAAACATAAAAATAAAAATTCTAGTTAGATTGTAAATATCAACTATAACTATGTGTAACATATGTGTATATTTACTGACAACAATCTGAAGGGAGGGGCCGGCCCAGTGGCTTAGTGGTTAAGTGCGCACACTCCGCTACTGGCGGCCCGGGTTCAGATCCCGGGCGCGCCCCAACGCACTGCTTCTCCGGCCATGCTGAGGCGGCGTCCCACATACAGCAACCAGACGGATGTGCAACTATGGCATACAACTATCTACTAGGGCTTTGGGGAAGGAAAAAAAAAAAAGGAGGATTGGCAATAGATGTTAGCTCAGGGCTGATCTCCCTCAAAAAAAAAAAAAGTCTGAAGGGAAACAGAACACATGTGTTAATAACTTATTATTTTCCACGTTCTATAAAATTGCCTTTATTCTTAAAGAAAGAGGAGTCATAATTGAGGCAATTTTATTATTTTGCTGTTTTATTTATATGTTTTAACCTTTTAACATAATGATGGACTTTTTGAGTAATTTAAATAAATAGTAACAATAAAGAAAATGACTGAACATTTCATTTCCTACATTACTTTTTCACACAAAGAACATCCTTTGTCACCTTTATAATTCAGAGAACTTTAGTTTTTTCAGGAAAACCAATAATATATCCCAAAAGATAAGATTATAAAATAAAAGAATACCTGATTTGGTTTAAGGGAGCAAAACAAAAAATTCTGGTGAAGCCACATAAGGAGGCAGCAGACCACAGGACAAGATAAGACCAAATTCTTTTGTCCTAAACTCTCTGACCCAACTCCATACATTAAACACATTGGGGAAAATCTCAGTGCTGGTTACATGATGTGTTTGCTGACAAGTCCACGCTTCCAGAAGGCATAACAGGCGCCAGACTCACTTAAATTACCAGACACACTTACTGTGGCGTGGGAGATGGTCAGAATCCCATTCTTGACAGCGCACTTCCTTCTCTGCCACACTTTCCGGAGCCTAAAGAGTGAGTCAAACACAACCTGATATGGTATCTGGTTCATGCAATTATACAGTGTTATGTGTAATAATCATTACCAAAAAAAAAAAAACAAAACAACAAACCAAAGAAAACTCAACCCCAAACCAAAAACCAACCAAATCAGAAAATTTTGGTTGCCTTTTATTATCCCAGGTAGAAGGTAATTCAGACTAGTAGGCACGTACAAGGATGTTCATTATAGCACTATTTTGGATAGCGAAAATGGGAAACAATGGAAATCTAATAGCAGGAGAATAAATGCATTATAGTTACATTCATACCACAGAGTATTGTAGGAGTTAAAAAGAATAAAGTAACTAGAGAATGGTGGTCGTCAAATAGACAACAAATAACAAATGTTGGCAAGGATGTGGAGAAAAGGGAACCCTCGTACACTGTTGGTGGGAATGTAAATTAGTGCAATTGCTATGGAAAACAGTATGGATGTTCCTCAAAAAATTAAAAATAGAACTACTATTCCACCCAGTAATACCACTTCTGGGTATTTACCCAAAGAAAACAAAAACACTAATTTGAAAAGATATGTGTACTCCTATGTTTATTGTAGCATCATTTACAATAACCAAGACACAAAAGCAACCCAAGTGTCCATCAGTTCAGTAGATGAATGGATACAGAAGATGTGGTGTGTATATATATATACATATATATATATATAGGAATATTACTCAGCCATAAAAAAGAATGAAATCCTCCCATTTATGACAACATGGATGGACCTAAAGGATATTGCGCTAGGTGAGATAAGCCAGACAGAGAAAGAATACTGTATGATTTCACTTACATGTGAAATCTAAAAAACGAAATGAAACAGATGAACAAACAAAAAAGAAAGAGACTCATAGAAACAGAGAACAAACTGGTGGTTGCCAGAGGGGAAGGGGTTAGAGGGGTGGGCGAAATAGGTAAAGGGGATTAAGAGGTACAAACTTTCAGTCATAAAATAAATAAGCCACAGGGATGTAACGTATGGCATAGGGAATATAGACAATATTGTAATAACTTTGTATGATGACAGATGGTTACTAGTCTTACCAGGGTGAGCATCTAGTAATGCAAATAAATGTCAAATCACTAATGCTGTACACCTGAAACGAATACAATATTGTATGGCAACTATACTTCAATTAAAAAAATATAACTATGCATGTGCTGACTTACGTAGATTTCTAAAGCATATTGTTGATTGAAAAGAGCAAGCTGTTTTGAGATAATTCAGGTATGATCTAGTAACATTAAAAAAAAAAAAATCACATGGGGCTGGCCTGGTGGCGCAAGCAGTTAAGAGCGTGCTCCGCTTCGGCGGCCCAGGGTTTGCAGGTTCAGATCCCAGGCATGCACCGACGCACCACTTGTCAAGCCATGCTGTGGCGGCATCCCATACAAAGTAGAGGAAGAGGGGCATGGATGTTAGCCCAGGGCCAATCTCCCTCAGCAAAAAGAGGAGGGTTGGCATCGGACCTTAGCTCAGGGCTGATCTTCCTCACACACACAAAACAAACAAACAAACAAAAAACCGCAAAAAACTTCTGACATATAAAACAGCACTCGAAATTTTCCATGGGTATATACATATATGTAGAAACATACAGAGGAGGTTCTGGAAAGAGGCATACCACAGTGACAAAAGTACTCCTCTCTGGGAAGGAGGCCCAGACCTGTATTAGGGGTGGTGCTGAGGAGTTTTTAACCATATCTATGAATCTTTTATAAGAAGGTTGTATGAATCTATTGCTTCTTTAATTAAAAACTAGATTTAAAAAAATTAAGAAAGTAACTCAAGATGTCTGCCATGCAAAGAGTGTGGGTGGGGCAGTCTCAGGATATAGAGAAAGTAGCTCAGGGTCCAGGGCTCAAGGATGGATCATCATTTTTGGTAACTCGTCCATCTCTCCTTTAGGGTTCTTTCAGAGCCAAAATGATGCCTCAGAGCCGCTGTAAGAGAATGGTTCATGATTCATTTAGGAAAGCAAACTGTGGCCAAACCATTCACAAGTAGCTATGAGCGAATATACATTGCGAAAATTTTGAATTGATGTTGCTGAAGGATGGAAAAAGCCAAAGAGAACTAATTTCAACTTGGAGGAGTGTTTTTGTGACGCTCCAGGTACAGGTGAGATGCTGCATGTGGCAGATTCACACAGGTGCAGGCAGGTACAAATGCACTAGCTGGGACCATTTCCATCAGGTAAATGGAAACATGCAGGGAACAGTGACTCTCTAGGCTGGGAGAAGGCGTCTCAGGTCTTCTGTGGCCATGGAAACAAACAAATTAGAGGAGACCACTGTAGCTTCTCCTAGGCATTTAAAATACTATCATCTTGTGTTTCCTTTTCCTTCTTGTATTAGTCCTCTAAGAAATCTGCCACAACAGGAATTTAAACCCATCTCTAAACATAGATAATATTGTCTTCTTGTTTGTGTAACTAGCACTAGAAGCATAGTTTTTTCCAAAGCATGCTTTACAGAGGGAAATAAGAATTTGACACCATCTGACCAAAAGTAAATTGAACACACTGTGCTCAAAATGCTAGTTTCCTCAGGAGGTAATGAAGAACCACTAATTGATAAACCGTCCTCAACTTACACCTAAATCACCAGATAGGGAATGTCTGATTAAAGATAATATCTGTCAAATGAGGATACATTTGGTTAATGTACCAACTCTCTGCAAGCAGTTCTGCATCCCATCTTACACTCTCAAGAGCCCAACATGTCCAAGAAAAGTCGAGAGTCTTCTCTTAGTTATTGTTTAGTTCAAACCCTAAAACATTCAACACCACAGGTGAGGTGTTCCCTGTACACATTAAGCCAAAACCAGGGTCACCCTTCTCTATCAACACTTAAAATACCAAATAACCAACCTAACCTACTCAGTCTTGAGGAACCTGTCCTGGCTCAGTTTATTCATTTTACTTATTAAGTCTTTATTCATTAGTTTTTCCTCATACATGTGTATTAAGGAAACACAAAAGAAAACAAAAAACCACATTCTCTTGCATTACTAATAAAACCAAAGAAAGTAACACAAAAGCATTAATCTTTATGGTTAATATAGAGATTGTTCATGTGATGCCTCCAGGTCACCAGGGGAAGGGGACCCATATCAAGTCATCCTCTTGCACAGCTGAGAGCATGGCACCCCATCTCTGTGAATGCTTTGAAAGCTTTTACTCTAGGGACTTCTGCTCAAGTCTGCACAGCTCCTGAATGGACTAAGGATTTTTGCCATCTGTTCTGAGAGCACCACACACAATCAGCACAAAAGGAACTTCCTACCAGAAAGTGGCCTGGTACAACTAAATGAGGACCAACTTTGATGCTCAATTACTTGGGCTTCAATCCCAGCACCATCACCCACGAGCTACGTGACTTTGCTCGTGTTACTGACCCCTTGGAGACTCACTTTCCTTATCTGTATCGTGAAGATGATAATGCCCACCTTCTAGGACTATTTTGAGAAAATATAGGTAAAGCAATTGCTCCTTTGCCTCTCAATAAATGCTTTTGGGCTATAAAGTTTTATTATTATTTAAAAAATTTTTAAATTGATTTTCCAATTGTATAAAAATCCTCTAAGTAACAAGGAGCATTCAAAAACTAGGGTTGGAAATTACTAATGCAAACGACCCTGAGGAGAAAATCACACGACACATCAGCATTGATCATTAGCAAACGACTCTGTCTGCACGTATAAGCATTCCAGTTTTTTCCTCCTCCATAGAAAGCAACCACAAGCAGTTCTGGGTTATCATTATTCATCTTTGCTTTCTGTGCAATTATTAGAAGGTTGGACCACCCGATTTCCAACCTCCTTTCCAACTCTAAGATATAATAGCTGTTCCCTTATCTCCTCCCAACAGACTGTGGCAAGGTGAGGGTGAGCACCATATCTCGTTCACCTTTTACCTTTAGCATCTAGCAGATTGCCTCAGACACTAGAGCGCTTAATAAATGTGTGTGGAATGAGTGCATGAAGGAAGAACAGACCTAAAGAACGGAAGAGTCAAGTACGTGAGTTTATGCCAGTTTATGCCTTGCAAATCCCAAGGGTGGTCAACAGCAGCGGAGCCCCCTTTGAAATACGAAGGGGCGATACGCTGGCACTAAGTCAGAAGACCAGGTAAAATCTGGGCTCTTATACTTACTGGCTATATGATCTTAGTCAAATTACTTAATCTCTCTGGATGAGTTGCCTTGTCTGTAGAAGGTGTCAAATGAGCTGAATGAGAGGTACCTGGCAGTGTCTGGCAGGCACACAGCAGATGCTCACAAGATGGTACTATCCTTGAACGTTTTAGGGTTTGAACTAAACAATAACTAAGAGAAGACTCTCGACTTTTCTTGGACATGTTGATATTAATCACTTCACTTAGAAACAGGCACTTCTAATTTTAAGAAAATCATTGTGGCTTTAGGTGAGTATTGTTAACAATATGACTGCTACTTCTGCTTCAAAAGATAGGTAACAGGACACCGTTGCCTACAACAGAACATAAATTAACTTTCCTTTTGATGGAACAATAACAGGTCACCACGTTTCTAAGAGGTGCCTGTCCCACAGGTGGTCAGGAAAACAATGGATGCTGAGCCTGAGGCTTTCCAGCATGTTAACTGTGGAATTAATAATTCATGTACACTAGATATCATGCAGTTTGGGCTACAATTTGATCACTGTGTCACTTAAAAACAGCCCAGGTTAAAGCTGTGCTTTTGGTAACTCGCATTTCTTGTCTTCTTTTACTTTTTGTAGGACTCAATTAATGGCCAGCAAACATTCAGTGACCCTACGAAGAGTCGGGTGCTGCGCTATGTGCTAGGGATGCTTTTCTTTCTTTACACTCCACATCAGCAATCCTGCTGGCCCTACCTTCATTATCTAGAATCTGATCACTTCTTACCCCTCTACGGCTGTTCCCTCTGCCCCCCATCATCTTCATCTGGGTTCTGCAGCAGCCTCCTACCCAGTCTCTCTGCTGCTGCTCTTACACCCCACACAGTCATTCTTAGCATGGTAGCCAGAGCAAACCCCTCAAAACAAGTTGGATTATGGCATTCCTCTGCTTAAAATTCTCCACGACTCCTCATCTCACTCAATGGCTTATGGTTTGGCACCCTGCTCCCTGCCCCGCCCCTCACCTGACCTTGTCTCCTCTGACTGCTCTCACTCTACTCCAGCCAGGCCAAACTCCTGAGTGTCATCACAGTGGGAGGCATGCTCCTGGCCATTCTCTCCTCCCTCAGGTCTCTATATAGATCATTCTCTCACTTCCTTCAGGTCTTTGCTCAAACATCATCTCACTCAAGTCTCCCCTGACCACCCTGTATGACAGCAAGAACCACCCTACCCGCCCTGTACCCCTTGCCTTGCTTTATCTTTCTCCACAGCGCTTGTTACCATCTGACCTCCCATATATTTCCTTCTTTACTGTCTCCTCCTTAGAACATAAGCTCTACAAGGATAAGGCCTTTCTCTTGTTCAATGCTATATCCCCAGTGTCTACAACAGTGCCTGACATATAGTAAGACTCTCAAAAGACATCTATTGAATGCATAAGTAAATGATGAGCAAAACTGACAGTGATCTCACAAATTTATAGGAGAAATAGTTGCAATTTTAACAAATAAATTAAAACAGAACAAAAAAATGCACGCATCCTAGATATAGCCAAGGAGCACGTATCCACAAGCAATCAGAAAACAAGAAGCTTTCTTTTAAAAAAGGATGACAATTAGCAAAGTGAATAATCAAGATTCTACTTATACACTTATTGTGAAGCAGAACCATTTGTTCAAGCAACAGAAAGAAGGCCAGTGTGTCAGGGCCAGAGGAGAAAAACAGCACAAGATGAGGCTGGAGAGAGGCAGGGGCAAGATCCTGCAAGCAATGGGAAGCCATTGAGCGTCTCAAGCATGGGAAGGACCTGAAGCGTTTTGTTTTTAAAAAGCTCCTCTGAGTGCTGTGTGGAGAAGGGGAAGAGTGAGTGACAGAGAGACCAGTTAGGAGGCTACTAAAACAGTCCAGGACAGATGATGGTGGCTCATCCCAGAGCGGGACTGCACAGATGGCAAGAAATGTACTATTTCTTGTTAGAAATGGAAGGGTTTGTTGTTAAACTGCCTGTGATGTAAGAGGAAAGAGAGAGTCAAGGTTGACTCTCAAGGTTGGGGTTTGGGCAGCCAGGTGGCCACCCTAGGAGAGAAAACTGCAATGAATCAAGGCAGAGAGGTGGGCGAGTGTGAAGTCAGCAAGCCATTTGCCTGCTTCATGTTCCACTCGGTTCTCGTCTTCCTACAATTGCATGTTACAAGTTCCAGGAGCCATTTAGGGACCCCACAACAATTACTGCTTCTTTTAAAGATAGCAGGTTATATCTCAGACTTACCTGAGGAAAACCAGGTGCTAATGGTCTGGAGCTAGTGCATTAGAAAACTTTTAAGTGTGTTTTCCTATTTGAGAGGTTGAGAAAAGTTCCCAGGTTATTGACACCCAGTAAGCATGCTAAGCGCACCCAAGAACACGAGGCTGGCCTGTACGTACCCATCACTTTTCTTCAGCAGGTACCCCTTCTTCTCGCTGCCATACTCCTTATTGCCCTGGAGCTGATGCATGCTGTACCCTCCCTGCCGGCTCTGGGAATCCTAGAAAACAGAAACCACAGATTAAACAAATGCTGGCACAATTCTCAAATCCTTGACTCTACTGCCATTGAGCCTTTGCCTGTTGGTCTTGGACTAAGAAAATTATGAAACTTTAAGACTGTCAGGTCCCTGCCTTTATTTTTGAGGAGGAAGCTGGGCAGGTAAAGGATAGCTAGAGTCACAAGCAAGTCCCAGGCAGAGTGGGAGCCCAGGGACCACCTCCCCTATTTCTAGTTCAGAACCCAGCTCCTCTTCAAACACACGGCAGTGACAGACTATTCTATGACTCAAACCAGTTTACACTGGCAGCAGAGGCAAACATGGGAAGGGCTGGAAAGCGGAAGTGGACCACAAACCAAGTTCATGCAACCTGGATGTGTTCTTCCCTAAGGGACGCCTTTCTCTTGCCACATATTCTGCTAAAATCCCCACGATAAAAAGTACACCTTCTGAGTGAGTTATTAAGGATTGTTATAAAATTCTTGTTTTGTAACTAACTAGTGCTCTGTAAAAATATACCTATAACCATGCTTTTAATTAAAAAAGATGATTCTATGGCAGTGAAAAGTGTATGATGTGGTGAAAGAGTGACAAGGGCTAACAGAACAACACAGATGCAAATAAGCCGGATGTAATGTTAGCACTCTGCGGATACCCCCATCGTTTCTACAGAAGGCACAACCAGACACAACCATTGCACTGCGAAAATGTAAGAAATAAATGAAGAACGTTGGACCGTCGAATGAGAACATGGGGCTTTAGACACAGAAGAAGGACAATGCATTCTCACAAAAAGTATTGACTTACTCTCCTAGACTTCGATCAGGAAGGGCAAAAGCAACAGAGAAAAAGGCAGAGAACATTTGAAAATATAGTTAATTTCATTCTTATCGCTCTTAATTTAAGCACTTTTTATAATACACAGAGAAAACATCATTGTAAAGATAATTAACACCGGAACATACACACACACACACATATCTTTGAAATCATGATAAACTTGGAGTGACAGGACAATAAAATATCTTTATATTTATCAAGTTTTATTTCAGGTCATTTGAATGAGAACAGGAAAAAAAGCTGAATGGGAGAACATGAGGTACACATTTCACCAAGCTAAAATGGCTGACAGACCTCGAAGTGTGTGTATAGAGAACCAATGTTTCAGTGAAACCCAAAGTGAATCACTTAGAAAATCTAAAAAGAGTCACAAATTGTAGGATTTTTTGTTTTTGTTTGTTTGTCTTCCAAGTGAAGAGACCTTAATAGAAATATCCAGTTCATAAGCAACCCCTGAAATGTGATGGTGACTCGGGAGGCACCTAAATTAGCCATTATTTACTGATGGCTTGTGTACAGCATGCCTCTAAGGTCAGGACGGTCTCTTTCTGGCATTCAGGATCCTTCTGGACCAAACAGTGCGTGCTCAGTGGATGCAAATGAATGTTAATCATAGTTGAAGGAACATCTCGAGGACAACGCACCTTTGTAAGGCTATTCTACACGTGATGAGTTCTGTGCTCAAAACCGTGTCCTGAACCCCTCCTAAAAGCCAGGTACTGAGAAGGTATTGAGGACACTGACTGGGACACAACCCCTGTCTCTGAGGTGGATGCTCACACTCTAACCACGCACTGTCCTGCTCTCTCCAGTAGGTAACTGAGAGCTGACTGCACACTTGAATAGGCAAGCTGACTCACACAAAAGAGGTTACAAACTCCAGTCGTTTTCTTAATCCGAGTTATTTCTTTAACTGGCCATATGCTCTCCAGCTGAAACATCTAACCGGACAATTTTAATCACCTGGGGAGGGGTGGGGAGTAGGAATCTCTTGAAAAATTCCCCTACATGTTTACTTTTAACCAGGGCCACCGCCTTGCACTCACAGTAATCTGGTCACGCTGTCCTCCCTGATAGGTACTTTCCTGCCTTCCGTATGGAGATATGACTGAGGGATTGTACTATACCTCACACAGGCAAACAGCAGTCTTCCTCTACCACTGCCTCTAGTGACAGTCCCCACTAACAATGGTAATGACACACGTGGTTTTTGTGAAGGAGGTGGCAATGTGTCCATCATACTATTAAAGAACAATTGGGATGGAAAATTAGATCAGCTGGTAGACTGAGGCATGGGACACAACAGGAGGCTGGGATAAAGGAAATCCACAGCAGTTTCTGCTTTACCCCAATGAAATGACAGGAAAATTACTCAACTATGGATCTGGAGTCAGGGATCTTTGCCACATTTATACCTCCTGAAAACACTGACAACAAAATCTAAAATCTCCTTGGATATTAATTCTTATTAAAAGAGTAACTCTCTTCCTTGGAACCTTTTCATTTAACTAAACTTCTCTTTATCTGCCTATGTACTTCCTAGAGTGTCTGAAAGCTTTGAAACCATGCATCTCTCACCTTAACTGGTTTGCTAACCTTTAAAATAAAATCCTAAGTTTTAAAAATGAAAGCACTTTTTTTAAAACAAGGATTCAGACACTGATAACTTATGAAAATTATTACATTCTGTAAAATTAACATTAAGACATTCCTACCTGTATTTATTACTAGCCTAAATAAACTTTAAATTCTGAATAACAAGCAGATCGAACAGCCTTTGCTTTATATCAGACAAATATGCTTTTTTTTTTTTTTTTTTGGTGAGGAAGATCAGCCCTGAGCTAACATCCATGCTAATCCTCCCCTTTTTGCTGAGGAAGACCGGCTCTGAGCTAACATCTATTGCCAATCCTCCTCCTTTCTTTTTTTCCCCCAAAGCCCCAGTAGATAGGTGTATGTCATAGCTGCACATCCTTCCAGTTGCTGCATGTGGGACACGGCCCCAGCATGGCCGGAGAAGCGGTGCGTTGGTGCACGCCCGGGATCCGAACCCAGGCCGCCAGTAGTGGAGCGCGTGCACTTAACCGCTAAGCCACGGGGCCGGCCCAGACAAATATGCTTTTAAAGGTGAATCAGGTGGCTGAACTCGAGGCTTTGACTTCAGAAGCCTATTCCATTAAACCGAGCAAGAAGGAAGCAACATATTTCAGAGGTCTACCATCAACAATCCTAAATTAACTACTAATGAGTTTTACGGCTTAAGAAAGTCACGCAAATTATTATTTCTGTACTTTGAGAAATGACGGCCACTCTGCTTGCTTGGCAGGGGACTCCAGATAAATGAAAAGAGGATTTTCCTTTTAGAGAAAGTAAATCTCAGAGAGTTGTTAATACTAACGATAATTTAAAAAACAAAACAAAACACAACTTAAGGAACGAAATAGGTCCTGAATCCTTTGATAGCAGAATAGAAATCAACATGTACTGAGGAAAGAGAAACGCAAATAAGAAACTCACTCAGGCAAAAAACATAAAACTAAATTCAAACAATGAACTTAAAATAAAACTGTGGGGAAATTCCATGATGTGAGCCGAGAAATGTAAACTATAGAATGAAACTATGGTATTATTTTTGAGTTCAATTTCCCATTCTCTACTAGCAGCACAGACAACTTACCTTACTTTGTTATTAGAAAATCTTATTAACATACAAAATCCATTATTAAGGAGTAAAATCTCAAATCTTTTTAAACTGCAAGCAATTACACACTTACTGATTTAACGGGGTTATAAATGTTTCTGGTATCCAATTTAAAACTAAACTTCTATTACAGAAGCTGCAAATTTCTAACGTAAGGTATGAACGGAGTGGGCAAAGGATTCCTTCTGTTTCATCTTACTAAATATTTATTGAGTAATTCTGAGTGCCAGCCAATGCGCCAGAGACTGAAGAGAAAGGTGAGCAAAACACAGAATCTGTCAAACCACTTGCAAACCAGCTATTATGGGCTACTGAGAGACTCCAGGACAAAGGTGGAATTTTTGGAACAATTTATGGATATCGTCATTAAAAATAAAATATTTTCAACCCTAAAAATAGTTATGTAGCCAAAAGTGCCTTTGGGAGGTTAGACTATTATCAAAGCTTAAGATAATTTCATAGAACATCTGCCAGAAGTCAATAAAGAATTTTATTTTGACGAGACAAAATAAGTCTACCAAAGATCTGCGAATCCTATTTACAGTTCAAATTCTTGGAGCTTCCTTTAATGGAGTCAAGTTGAACTTGGTGAACGTAAGGACGTTAAATGATTTATTGGGTGCCCTTAATTTCTCAGGTCATTTTTACATTATTTTACACTCTTCTTGAATAGTAGTGCTGTGGCGAGAACTCTCTGGTGGATAGCCTCCTTTCACATTTAATTTAAGTCATTACCTTCTAAACATATTTTTGCAATGAGAGATGATAACAGCATGAGAATGGGATAGGCATGCTGTGAAAGATCAATTTTACTTGTAAAATACTCTGGACATGGTGCTAATGAAAACTCATCATTTATTAATTTGGGGTGGAGTTAAAAATCAAATCACGTGCATTTCCTCAAGTACATGAGAGGCTTATATATCACTTTGCTCTTTAGCTGGCATGAGCAGAATACATTGGTCTCTATGCAAAACAAAAGGGACTGTAATAGTCCTTTTTTTCCCCAAGAAAGCTTCCATATACAGGAAGGAGGTAATCCTGTGCGACAGAACAAAGGCAGGAAGTGGTTAAGTACATACCAGTCAATACAAAACCTCGTCATGTTCTCCCCAGAGATCTACCTCTTACCCTCTCCATTTGGGTCTTTCTATTGCTCTCACCCTGAGAAATCACTCAAGGAGACCACTTCTAGGACTTGTACGCCAGCAATAAGCACCCTCAAGGAGGCCTCGAAGCACAGGTGCAGACGCTGGCTCTACATGACGTGGGCACAGAGCACACCAGCTTCCAGGCCATGGACGCCTACTGCGCGGGCTGGCAGGGGCCAATGCTGAAGGGCCACAGACTTCTCTCCCTTTACAAAAACCCAACGTGTATACAGACACTGGACTGGGGAAGCAGAAGCAGAGAGGCGACACTCACTCAGTGAAGAGCATCTTCAGGGCTGCCTTAAACCATGAGTGTTGCTGCAGCAAGGCTTCCCATGTTTGAGGGGCTTTGCTTTGTTTTTGTTTTGAACTCGGAACCTCTTCCAGAACTTTTAGGAGTTTAAAAATAGTCAGTTTGCAATTGTAGATAATAACATGAGGAACTGACAATATAAAAAATGCTATATTTTATGTGATTATTATTAAATATTGCATTTAGATAATATACTTAAACTCAATCAATAATTATTTCATAATATAAACAGGCAAATCTTTTTTTTTGTGAGGAAGATTAGCCCTGAGCTAACATCCGTTGCCAATCCTCTTCTTTTTGCTGAGGAAGATTGGCCCTGAGCTAACATCCGTGCCCATCTTCCTCTACTTTATATGGGACGCCACCACAGCATGGCCTGACAAGCGGTGACAAGCAGTGCGTCAGTGCGTGCCCGGGATCCAAACCTGCGAATGCTGGGCTGCCAAAGCGGAGCGCGCACACTTAACCGCTATGCCACTGGGCCGGCCCCTAAACAGGCAAATCTTTACCTCTTCCCATGTAACAAACAGTGCTCGCTAGTTAATTTACCCTCAGCATGAAGTCCATCCCCTTAGTCCAGCATCCAAGGTCCTCCATAGTCAAGTCTGAGGTTCCACCTCAGAAACCGCATCCCTCATTCCTCCGCCCACCTTGCCCCAAACGGTCTGTAGCCCGCTGGAAATGCCAGGCAGTTTTCATCCCCAAGGCTTTTTGGTTTCCTCTCTTTGCCAGCATGCCACCTCCCAATATTCCTCTTACAGCATCAATACCACTCTAGGCCTGAGTCCCTGTTCATATGGCTGACTCTCTCCACTGGATGCTGAGCTCCCTGTCAGAAGGGACTAGAGCTTAATGCCCAGAACACCTGCTGGTACATAATAGGTATTAATTAAACACGTTTTGAACAATAAATGAACAACTGACATTTATAATTAAGGATCTGTACTGCATTCATCTAACATCTACCATGTATTATATACCCCATTTCAATATCCAAGGATTATCTCACCTTAATTTTCCTGTGGGGCAAAACTTCTATAGGATTCTGAATCAGACTATACCTCTATTTCAGTGGGAAAATGAGACAGGCCCCCTTTGGCTGCCCAGAAAGATACAGATGATCTAAAGAGGATATGGCGTGTGCACTTCACTGCCTCTCCTCCAGCAGGCTTACAGGATGCCCTCCTATGGTACACATCTTCAAAGCCAGGATGGAAAATCTGGAGTCACGGAATTGTAGGTGGGGGGTTAGGGATATCTTTTTTATAAGGAGAGAAAGGGCACTAAAACACAGTTTCTACACTGGCCAATACGGTAGGTGCACACTTATATCCTGTACATCATCTGTCCTCACATCACCCTGGCAGGAAGCTGTCAACGTGACTGCTTTGCAGATCAGGAAACACAAAGGCTATCATAGCAGCCTCGCTTAAATCATTAGCCCTGCTGGAAACACACAGATCACCTACTTCTTTCTGATCAAGCTGAAGAGAGGATTTTATTAAGTCTCGGAGTGCAGTTAGCTGTTTCTTTTCTTCATCCTGGGTCTGTTTTATCTACGAGAGAAAAACATTTCTTCTATTACTTCTATTACATTTATGAACAGTTTAATTCATCCAAATATACCACTCATCAAACAATTCAATTATATAGTTGATTTCCTTATTAAAGTCCTTCAGACAATCTCATTTTTCATATGAGAGGCACAATTTTCTCATTTTATGAAAGTACCAGTATGTTTGGAAATTAGTGAATAATGCAACATGCTTTCTTAGTAAATAATACATCTAGGCTAGACAATTAACTCTGAAGTACTATTTTAAACAAAGTTAAGAAATAACAGAGTCATTTGCTCCTGGTTTTTCAAAGGGTGGTAGTGGGAACACCACGATGTGACTGAGTGGGCCAGAAGAGAACCATAAAAATGACAAGAATCCCATGGACTAATGCACATATGAAAGTTTACAAAATACCATACAAGGGCAAGGGATTCGGGCTGCTTTTTTTAATCACTCTGAACTTAAGTGCAACCTGAACCATGTTCACTTTGAAAAGAAAATTGGAAAAAATACACAGCTGTGTATTAAAAGTTATATCAGAATATAAGGTATTATTTGTAACTCCAAAATCTTATTTGAACATACGTAGTTACACTCATAAAACATATGTTTAATGTTATTCTTTCCTAAGTGGTTTACAGGGGACAACTCTGACATTTCTATGTATGCATTTAGTCTTTTTCTCAAAGAAGTTTTCCTCTTGATTTTCCTATTATAAAAGCAAAACCTAGGTATTAGGAAAAAAAGGAGAGAAAATTTAAGCAAGCAAGAAAAAAAAAATCATCAACTTGCCTACTGAGAGAGTCACTTAATTTTTATCCTTCCAAGATCAAAATTTCTTTCTGCAATTGTGGACTGAAGGGCACACATAGGTAATGTTACTGAACTCTGAATGCAGAGCCATCTAGAACCAATGGCTGTACACTCTCCTCCCTGCTCCTCCCATGCCCCCAAAGCATCCTGTGGACTAGGTGACCAGTGATGACTTTTACAGTTAAACTGCAGGTTATCTGCCCTAGGTTCATACTGACACATCACTTAACCTTGTCTTTTCTTCAATACTCTTCTAATACAGATTTCAAATCCACTGATATTCCTCTACAAAAGCAAGTTGAAATGCATGTATTTTATAAAGAACTTACATTATATAAATCAGCAGCCAGTTTTTCAATGTACTGTTTCAATTTATCAGCGGTTTTCAAGCCATCTTGAAAGAAACTATAAGGGAAAACATCAGAGATTTACCAGGAGGATAAAAAAAGAAATGAATCACAATTACCTGAAAAATCTGAAAATAGTTATATATATATTTACTCTCTACCCACATTACTACACAAAAAACTTATAAAACTAATTTCAGTATTTTATAAAGATGCACCACCAACAAACAAATTATGGGCACATTTGACATGTGCTAAGAGATATCACACAGACACTACAAATAACAGTTGCAGTTCCAACACACTGATTTCCTACTGTGTATGCCCTCTGTACACAGAACAATTCTTCCTGGTTGTGCCATATCTGATTCAAAAGAGACAGACACATTTAGCAGTGGAACATCATCAAGTCGAATTGGACACTCTCAGGAGAGATGCGACTGAACTAGAAACAGAGGCTGCAGGAAGGTCAGCGTTCTCTCAGTTCCCCAAAGACCCCTGTGTCCCAACACACACGCGAAACACAGGATGTCGAATCAGTGGCACGGATGGATTTGGAAAGCTGTATCCTACCACGTATATAAGGGTGCCTTGCTTCTCCCCGAGTAACAACAAGCCCTGACTCTGGCTGAGCACTCACCACACACCCAGCACACTGAGCACGTCACGTGAGTCACTTCATTTACTCCTCACAACAACCTTGATACGAAGTGAGAAGCACTTCAACCTCATCTCCATTTGGAAGGGTAAACCGGGGCGCAGAGTGAGTACTTAACTTGCTCAGGCTGTTCACGCAACTACTAAGCGGCAGAACTGGGATTCAGGCCCAGGTTCCGACTCTGACACCCTGCTCTTAGCTATCCAGAGAAGAGAGTTCTTCTCTGAGCACTTCCACTCAGCAGCCCCCCGCTTATTTCAGTGTTAGACGTCTCCACCTGTTGGAAGCTGCTCTAACCATGCTGCCACGGCAGACTGTTCCTCCATATACGTGATCTGTGTTTCTCTCGTCCACAAAAGGATGGGGTCCTTGAGGACGAGGCCTGTCTCTCAGCCCCACATCACAGTGGGCCCGGCACAAGCAGATGCTCAGTAAGCAGCTAAGAAGGAAGCACTATCAAGAGTTTTTAGGGTACATTTTGGGATCCATATATCTCTTTTTAGCTTAATAAGTACATTCCATGTTAAAATACATCCTTATCAGAACTGGCCTTCAGAGTGAGTACTGAAATCCTACAAGTTCCAAAATTCTTTAAGCTACATTTAACTCTCATCTTTTAACATTTAGGTTTTCATCACTGCCTTGAGGGATGAAAGTTAAATTTTTTGGTAATGAATTGAATAACTTCTATATTCTGGCCCTTGAATATCTTTCTGGTTTTATCTCTTACCATTGTCCCTTAAAAACTCTGGGCTCCAGCCATGCTACATTATTTCCAGTTGCTCCCCAAGCCTTTGCATATGCTGTTCCCTCTGCCTGAAATGCCCTTCCCCACTATACTTGCCTGTCAAACTCTCATTCTTTCGCAGCTCAGCTCAGTCGCTACCTCTCCAAGCAACCTTCCCTAGTCTCGCCAGTCAAGGGGATGGCACCTTTGAGCACACGCTTGTGCCCAGGCCTAAGCGCCAATCATAGAGCTGCAGGCAGTGTTCTGCAGAGCAGGCCATCCATAAGTGTTAACCTGAACCAGCATCTTCTACATCTGGGAAGGAGTGCCTGCCAAGGAGTCAGAAGTATGGCTACAAGGTTAACCAAAGCAAAACCAATTTTGATCTGTGATACTGCACTTAATTTCTGGAGAAAGATTTTGAAGGTAGAACACTTCAGTGCCAGATGGATGCTGTCAAGACTTCTTACAGCAGAAAAAGCAAGGGCTTTGGGGTCAGATGATTATGGCAAAGAATCTGTGCCCTAGGACTCATAAGCTGTGGGACTTTGACAAGCCACTCAACTCCTGCTCATGTTATCTGCATTAAATGGGGTGAATAATACAGAGAACACATATGAAATCACTTAGCACAATGCTGGGCAGCTGGGATGTTATCAGTAAACGTGGTTTTCTTCCGTGGAGCTGTATAGGTTTATCATATAAGGACTTATTTCCTTCCCAGAGGAATACAGATTCTTTGCAGATATTTTTATAAAGATGTTTTTTACTTTCAACATGAAAGGAATTTAATCATGTTAAAAAAAAACACAGATGGGTTTAAATGACAATGCTCTAGATCTGGGTTTTCCAATTCAATATTTGCCACTAAGTCACATGCAGGTAATTTAATTAAAATCAAATAAATTTAAAACTCAGTTCACTAAGTCTGACTAGCCACATTTCAAGTGCTCAGTAGCCACATGTGGCTAGTGGATACCACGTTAGACAGCAAAGAATATCAACATTTCAGTCATTTCAGAAAGTTCTATTGGACAGTGCTGCTTTAAATAAAGAATAAGCAAACTGAGATTTGAACAGCATGCAAGGAATGTTATAAAACACATACATTTTCAGGAGGAAAAGGGCATTATTTTAGTTTGAGATGGCATTGATAAAAATAAAAAGTTATTTATCATCAGTGAGAACAAGCTGGAAGGAGACAAATACCTACCAATTAAAAGGCTAAAGAAAGACCCAAATAAGTCTATTTTCCTATAGTTAAATTCTTCAGAATATTACAAACACAGACTAAGAAAAATCAATGTAATGAGAAATCATTTTAATCTATAGTATGATCCAATTTCATATACATAAATCTAGTAATCTGAATGAGGAAATTACAGGTTTTCTTTTTTCTTTCTTGTGAACTTCATGTACTAAATTTTTCTAAAAAATATATTTTACTCAGGCAAAACAAAATCAAAGAACAGAATCAATGTTCAGCCTGAATGACAAGGCTGAGCTGAGGCCCTCTCCGAAAGTTATTTTAGGGCCAACGTCTAGTTTTTGGTGAGAAGCAGGAGCAGGAGAGGAGAGGTTGCAGGCAGAACACATCAGTCCTGATGGTCACTAGTTAACACCACAAAAAGCAAAGGCCAACACGCTGCCAACTGCACTGCCCCTCTGGTGACCCCTCCTCCTGTCCTTGAACCCCTCCCTGAGTGGTTCAGTCTCAGCTACGGGAGGGGTGAGACTCAAGAGCCACAACATTCCACTGAGGGCAGTGAGCTCCTCTGTTCCATTTCCTCCTCCCTCTGTTTTAGCTGGCTCTGGTTCAGTGGAAATGCATGGGCTTATGAGTCAAAAGTATGTATTTTGGCTCTAAACCTTACTGAATGTATAACTTTGGGCAGGTTCTCCTGTGTGATTTGAGCATGCTCATCTCCAAATGTGGACGTTTTCTAGCTCCAAGGAGCCTCAGATGAGCTACCACAGATAAAAGTCTCCTGTTAACTGGAAAGTGAAGCACGAGTGTCAGTTCTGATTTCCCATCACTCAACTTGAACACACAAGCCTTCCCAATAGAAGGGGGAATTACCTCTATGACATCCTACCGGTCCCTTAGCCACTTTCTCTGTAAATTACTGAAATATAATGAGATCTTTGGAAAATAGATGATGACGATTAACAGTAGTAATAATAATAATGGCAGCTAGCAAGTAATTGAGTATTTACTCAATGCCAGTCACTCACTATGATGCACAATTCATGGAATATGCTTTTTTAAAAGTCTCATTACAATCCACCTAAATGGGTAATTATTAGTATTAACCTGTGAGAGCAATAAGGAAACTGAGGCCCAGAGAAGTCAAATGTCTTGACTAGGATAATCTAGTTATTAAGTACAGATTTGGGTTTGAATACAAGTTTTCCTATCTCTGGAGCACAGGTAATTAAAAAGGCAAGTTGATCTGGTTCCCAATCCTGGCTTTCCTACTGAATAACAGTAGAATCCTGGATCTCTGTGCCTCAGCCTCCTTATACTGGCAATGGAGATCATCCCATGTACCTTGGAGAGTTCTTGTGAGCACTGAGACAATGTTCTTAAAACGCCAGGCACAGAGAAGCGGTTCAATACATGATGGCCAGCAAAATGGGCTCCATTGTTTCTCTGACCTTACGGACATAGTAAGATTGGCTTCACTTTCTAAGTAAGCAGCTTGAAAGAAATATGACCATATTTTCATGACATTGGGTGCTAAAAAAATATAAGTTGCCAACTGATGGCAGAAGGACCCTCACATTTACACTGACAGGCTGTAACACACCCACAGCTGCAGAGTGCAAGCTCATGAGAATCTTTCTTAGAATGAACCAGAACCTTCTCTATCCTGAGAGGGTCGCTGTGTATATCACTTCTTTCTTAAGTCATTCTGTCTAAACAATGAAGGGGAAGGAAAACACTATGTTCTTTCTGATTTTAATTTAAAAGACAGACAAGAGTGCTTCCCTGATACCCCTTTATCAGATGTTCTGCTTGGCTTAGAAAGAGGTGTTATTTGGCGAAAGGCTGAAAGGCTTAGAGAGCTTAATACTATTTTCAAAAAAAGTCAGGATATCCTGGAGTACCATAGAGAGTATGTTACTATAAGATAGATCAAACCATAAAACAAATTAAAAAATAAAGTGACCTCTTAATATATCAACCATCAACCCCTTGTGAAAGCCTGATGTTTAAGCTTCAGTCTTCAACTGAGTCAGGTACTGATTTCCAGCTATCTAAGTACCAGGGTGACATTTTCTCCCAGACACATTCCATGCATGTCCTGTGGTACTGAAGAAACTTGAATGTACAGGTGTTAGTGTAAGTACTAATTAACTGCAAAGACATCTTGATGTTCAGATCAAAGAGATAGCAGACAGTGGTATACTGGACTCACATATGGAGATTCTTAAAAATATAAATGTCCAGGCCCAATCCCAGGCTTATCAAATCAAAATTTCTGGCAAATTAAGAGCATGGACTCTGGAGTTAAGAGAGATGTGGGTTCAAGACTTGGTTCTGTCACCTTCTAACTATAAGTTCCATGAATCTTTGTTTTTGTTTTGTTGGGTTTCTTTGCACTTTTTAAAACTGAGATAAAATTCATGTAACATAAAATTTACCATTTAAAAGTGTACAATTCAGTAGCTTTTAGTATATTCACAATGTTGTGCAACCATCACCACTATCTAATTCCAGAACATCTCCTCACCCCAAGAAGAAACCCTGTACCTATCAGCAGTGACTCCCCATTCCCCGCTTCCCCTGTCCCCCAGCAAACAGTAATCTGCTTTCTGTCTCAGCGGACTTGCCTTCTCTGGACATTTCATTTAAATGGAATCACACAATATGTGACCTTTTGCATCTGGCTTCTTTCACTTAGAATAATGTTTCAAATATTCATCCATGTTGTAGCATGTATCAATATTTCATTCCCTTTTATGGCTGAATAATACTCCGTTGTCTGGTTATACCATATTTTGTTTACCTATTCATCACCTAATAGATATTTGAGTGTTTCTACATTTTGGCTATTGTGAATAATGCTGTTATAAACATTCATGAGCATATTTTTGTTTAAATACCTATTTTCAATTATCTTGGATATATACCTAGGAGTGGAACTGCTAGGTCATATAACACTATACTAAACTTTTTGAGAAATTGCTAAACTATTTTCCAAAGCAGTTGCACCAATTTACACTTCTACCAACAATGTACTGAGGATTCCAATTTCTCCCATTCTCACCCAGACTTATTTTCTGTTATGTCGTTGCTGTTTCTAACTATAGCCATCCTAGTGGGTGTGAAGTGGTATCACATTGTGGTTTTGATTTGCATTTCACTAATGTCTAATGATGTTGAGCATTCTTTCATGTGCTTTTTGGCCATTTGTATATCTTTTTTGGAGAAACGGCTATTCAAGTTCTTTGTCCATTTTTAAATTGTACTATTTATCTTTTTGTTTTCAGTTGTAAGAGTTCTTTATATGTTCTGGTTACTAGACCCTTATCAGATACATGATTTGCAAATATTCTCTCCCATTCTGTGGGTTGTTTCTTTACTTTATTAAAAGTGTTCTTTCACTCACAAATGTTTTTAATTTGAAGTTCAATTTATCTACTTTTTTTTGTTTGGTTTCTTGTGCTTTGTCTGTTGACATATATTTATTGAGCATCTATTAAATGAATGTGACTTTGGGCAAGTTACTGATCTTTTTTGAGCTACAATTCCCTGACTGCTCTTGACAAATGTTAGCCATTATTACCTGTAAGATCAAGGATAATAAAGCAATGTTTGTAAGTGCTCTTGACTGTGCAGCTCAAAATGATACTTGCTAGGTGGTAAAAGGAGCGAGTGGGCAGTAGGATAATACGTTTGTTTTGAAAGCAGCGTGTACTGACAATGTTCACGTTTGAAAGTGAGGAGTAATTGGTGTGGGTGAGCTGAAACGGGTAACAAAAAGTCAAAAGCTCTTCTTTTCTGCTCCCTTTATTTCTCCATCGCAGCGGCTGCACCCCCATGAGCTGCTCCGAGTACAAAGGTATCACTGGAGCAACTTCATTCTTGAGCACCACCTGACTTCGTACTGAAAACCATTTTGGGAACAGGAATAAGGACTTAGAATATGAAATCTCTCTTTTTTTAAATCTAAGTTGAGGATGCTTTACAGGCCCAATACCCGAATACTAAGGGTTTTGAGGGATTGACTCAAGCAGGAGAGAGGAAGGGCAGTCGTTGAAAGACCACTATGCTGGCTTCTTGCTGTGATGGAGTTCTTGGGGTTCAACCATGGGGCAGCTAGGGTTGAATCCCATTACAACGCAGTTCTACTACTTGATGTCTTCGAAGATCTCTCCCCAAAAGGAGGTTTTTTACTGGGTGGGGTCTCCTTTGGCTGATCTCTCTCTGCCCTGGGGAGAGACTCTTTTACCAGATTCCAACGGCCAAATGCTAGCCATCTTCCAAGTCCAATCCCAAGTCCCACCACCACCTTCAAGGAGCCCTCCTTAATGTCTCTGGTCAGAAGTCTCTTCTTCTCTTGATGCCCCATTATGATTACTGATGGACCCGACTTACTTCCTGTACCACATAATTAACTCCTGAGGGCAGAAGTCTTGTTTCATCTCTTACCCCAGATCCTGCCAAAGTACTGGCCTTTGTTAGGAGATTAATAAATATTTGTGGAAAGGGAAAAAGCCAAGACAAAAAGAATAAAGGGAGGATGTGTTAGCTATACAGGTTAGAGCTGCTCTTCTTTTCACCTTTACTAACAAAGGCTAATATATGTATATAGTTCACAGAACATCTTACATTTTGGGAAACTCATGTTCATGTAGGTTAAACCCTCCTCTACAGACTTAAGAAAGCTTGAGATCAAAAGAGATTTCTAAAATCAAGTGAAATCAGATTTGCTGCCAAACTGTTGTAATTGAGAAGACTGAGAGATTCACTTATTTCTATGAAAGTCTCAAAGCAATGATATGTTTCTAGGAAAACTAAAATTGATGAAAGACGAAAAACTCCACCCTAAACTAAAACCAGGGACTACCACAACACATTTCAAAGTTTCATAAGCGCCTCATTACACCACGAAGTCAAAGGTCTTCAGTACGAGGCTTTTGTGGGCAAACTTTACTTTATAAATGTGAATCTGTTTCCACTTCAATTTATTATTTTTGTTAAATATCTGAAACATATTCATATCAGGTAGAATTTACTTGGAAAAGAGGAAAAAAGTTAACAAATCAAATTTATGTACATAACAATTTGATCATTAAAAAGCTTTTCCTGAAGAGAAACAATCCTGTATAATAAAATACATGTATGAATGATTTTTTTTTTTTTTTTTTGGTGAGGAAGATTAGCCCTGAGCTAACATCCATTGCCAATCCTCCTCTTTTTGCTGAGGAAGATTGGCACTGAGTAGCTAACATCTGTGCCCATCTTCCTCTACTTTATGTGGGACGCTGCCACAGCATGGCTTTGATAAGCGGTGCACAGGTCCACGCCCAGGATCCGAACCCACAAACCATGAGCTGCCAAAACGGAGTGCTTGAACTTAACCACTATGCCACCAGGCTGGCCCCCATGTATGAATGATTTTTAATGCCACTAAGAATCGTCGCAGCAGCAAACACGTACAATGTAGCAGGCACTGAGCTAAGTGCTCCATAGGCATGATCTCATTGAATTCTCACATCCTCCCTACGAACATACACCCCACTTGACAGATGAGGACACTGAGGTTCAGAGAAGCACCTGATAAAGATCTCATGGTTACCCAGTTGCAGAGCTGGGATGTGAACTCATCTATCTGTCTGATTCAAGCCTTGTGTGTTTCCCATAACATTAATGCCGACTTCCTTAAATGTTTCAGTTAAAATCAAAGATCTTCCCAGACATAACATTATTAAAAGGAATAAGAGAGATTATCAAAGGAAAGTACAAATTTAAACTTTTTGGAGAGTAAGCATTTTATCTAGTGCTAATGACCTTTATATTATTCTGCTTAAAAATATGAGAGCTGTCTGGAACACTCTGGAGAGTCCTTGCACCATTTTCCCTGTAACTTCCATCGACTCAATACAGACTTTAATAGTAACAGGCACGTTTTCACACAAAAACTCTATCAGAAAACCCATAAAAGCTAACCCAATAAGCAAAAAAGTAAAAACGCAAATTCGGTGCCATGGAATCTCAAACATAATAAAAAAGTAGTCCTGCAATGTACACAAACAACAACAGTGCTGGTGTAGAACAATGGATGTCTCTCAAAATACATCAGCAATCACATAGGACTCAAGTGTAATTATGAAAAAAAAAAACAAAACAAAAACCCAAACAATCTCAAGTAGGAATACGTGGTACAAATGACTCAAAAACAGGTAAAACACCAAGTAAGGGAGGAGGCGGCGGGGGGGGGGGTCACCAGGAATGCCTCTTTAGTGACAAGGATGCATATATCTATAACAGGAGCTCCACAGGCTGTCCAGATCAACGTTAGCATTTTAAGTAAGACAGCACTTTTGAGGAGACAAATAGTCACACTAATTTGAGTTACTGATTTATAGAAAACACTGAAGACTGAAGACAATACTATTTCTTATCATTTGGCTATGGAAGGTCATTATATCACTATACATAGTGACCAAATGAAGACCAGAAAGAAAGAAAGAATTAAGAAAACCAATGAAGTGAAGGGGCTTTACTTGGGCTAATAATTATGATAGCAATATTCCACTTACTTGCACTGTGCATGGTAATACTTTATAAGATTCTGCAGCAGATCCACACCCTTTTTGGTCTTGATTTCATTAACTTTAATGAGATACTGTGGAAATAAAACAGAATTGCACACTGATCATATATATGGACAGGGCTCTTCAGTCACGGGTGCGGGTAGCAGACCACCAACTGTGAATCTGCACAAGTCACCGAGCCTCGGCTGTCTTCGGACAGTGTGAGCTTAGTTCAGGGAATGCGAACTTGGCACAGTCACAAGTGTACAGAACAAACTGATTAGAGTGTTAGCATTTTACAAATGCCTAAGATTAGTTTACTAGACAAGCAGAAGTCAAACACAGCAAAACATTCTGGAATAACTGATTATTTCCCCTTGGTGCAGTGGCTCTCAAACTTACAGTTCATGTGGTCAAAACCTGGAAGATGGATTGTTCTTTGCAGAAAACAAGTAAAACAGCATTCTCTCGAGGAATACGGCATAAGATATTGAAACTTTTAGACCAAGGAGGTGAATTAGAAAGAATTTTTGCCACTCAAAAATGGAAGAATAAAAATAAAAATAATGCATTATTAGCTTAAGCAGTTAACTAAACACTACTAGCTCTGACTTTCACAATTGGCCAAGATTTTCTGTTGATAGTTTGCTTCTTGTTCACTTGTTTTATTGTGTGGAAGTGTTCATGAGTAGGCAAGTTCAAGAAGGAGCCAAAGGTTATGAGGGGGAAAAAAAGAAAAAGATTTAAGGAAGAAAAACTTAAAACTGAGAAAACTCTATTTTAATATTTTCTGAAAACTGCAAAAGGAAATCCATCACTCAATCTCAATGTCAGAATGGGTTGGTCTCTAGGTCAGGGAGTGCCCTGTGCAATGGGAACGCAGTTTGAGATCCACTGCTCTAAGTTGAGGGCAGCATGCTTTCCATTGCATTTTTTTCATAAACTCACACTTTTTTAATGACTACTTCATTTAAACTTTCATTCAAATTGGACACATGCTTAAAAAAAACATGCTCTAAACCTGTACCAAAAAACTTAATATTCACCAGTGTTACCCCTCACCAAAATTTGTTTTCCACACTCACTCTCAAGCAACATTAAAGTTCTCACCAAGAATCCTGTTTTGGCTTAAAGAGCCCCATAGGACCCAGGCTCAAAATATGAGACAACAGTGAAATGGCGGATCCCAAAATGCTTGGAGAAAAATGGAGATTAGAATCCTTAAGAAACAGTCACCTCCTCTAATAATCAAACACAGCCTGCTTTTAAGCATAAAAACTGCTGACTGGCAGGAAAGACTACAGTTAATAAAATTCTAGATCAACGGCTGAAGAGTTTGTTCTTACTTCGCACATTTGGAGCTGAAAGAGGCGCCGTTCCTTCTCCATTTCTTCTGCAATCTCTGCTCCGGTTATCTCTGTGCGGATCATCCCGTGCTGTTTGGCATGTTCTCTTTTCTCCTTTTCAATTTTTGTACTGTCATTAAAGCAGATGTCATCATTAAAACAAAAAACAAAATGAAACCCCCCACACTCACGTCTTTCCTTTAATGAGAGCACCTTGATTATTTCTTAATTACTAGAGTTAGAGGCTGGAACACATAAGTTGGTAGCATCGATCAAAAGTAAAAATCTTTAGATTCAAAGAGAATGAATACATTGTATGGATTTTCACCTAGGAAACTTCTTACATTTTAACTTTGATCTTACACATGGATGGATTCATATAAATTCTCTTACATTTTGGTTGGCATGAAGAAATTTTGAGTTTACTTTTTCTTGGATAAAGTACTTTATGATGAAAAAGAATCAGAAAGTTGGAGAAGTGAGGTATGTCTTGATTATCAATAGACTATGAGACTTAGAATTATTTCAAGGCCATTAAGGTATGTAATGGGTCCTTGTGGGAAGGAACAAAAATTAGTCAAAAGTAATTTGCAATATTCCTCTAAACTTGGGCTGTTTCCATACCCCAATAACGCATTTTAATCATTCAACCATCTGGCATTGGATTGTACAAAATAAGGACTGGGCGAAATCCCAATCTATAATTTGGAATCCTATGAAAATGTTGTTCAGTGGGGAGGCGGCCAGGAGGGAACCAGAGAAATAAGAAGAAGGGCCCACAGCAAATCTGCAGTACCCAAGGCTAATGCTTGGCGATGACAGACGACACTCTGGTAATAACACACTAATGGTCACAGCCCTCTTTTCGAAAATCCATTTAACTTGAAAACAGACTTCTAATTTCAGAAACAGCCTGTAATTTCTAGTTGTGAATGCAAAGACTAACTGATTTAGCTTTCAAGTCTTCTTTTAAATTGTGGTGGTGTGAAACCAAACCCCAAAGAAAGCCAGTAACCTTGTCTATATACAAAAACAGTGGAAAATCAACCCATCAACTCAGTGGAAAATCTTCTAGCAGGAATCTGTAGATGCTCGGGAAGAAACACGAGGGGCAGGCATAACTTAGTAATAGTAGGCTTCTGGGTTAACAGGGTGACTTGACAACATAGATTTATTTCTTCTTCCTTCAGCAATCCCACTAAAATGATAGTAAAGTCATAAAAAATTATAATCTCCCAAAGACAAAAATTGGAGACAAAAAAGAATGAGAAAATTCAACAAACATCTGGAAGAGTAGGTCTCACGAGAAAAAGCATAAGAGAAAGTGTGCACCCCAAACGACAGGGATCCCTGCCTCCTTGGCCTGTGTCGCTTCCAGAATGCCATCATATACAATCACTAGATAGGGGGCGCAGGGAACTGAATTGTGCCAGCAGACAGACCTCTAGATACTGACATTCAGAATATTCCTGATAAAGAAGCTGTCTTGACATCTAAACTTAAACCCAAAAAGGTGGCTCTCATTGCTTTCTTGACAAGCCTCGCTGGTGTATTCGAGCTTTCAATCAATTTTTGGGTGCCTTGCTCTGAAATATGAATCGGCAGTCAAAGACTATAAGATAATTGAGGAAAGGCCTCAAATGAAAGCGAGAGATCAAAATAACAAGTGGCCTGGGGCGGGGGAGGGGGAGGGAACCAGAGGCAATAAGGGAGCAGAAAGTTTTCTAAAATGTAATCAGATCTTCAGAGAGCTACAATACTGCATCTATGAAAAAAGAAAAAAGAAACTATAAGAAGACCAAAACAAAAAACAAAAAAACCCCAAAATCCAACTAATGGAGAAAAAGTGCTTTTAGAAATTTAAAATGATAGAATAAAAAAAATCAATTGAAACAGTGGGAAAAAAAAAAACTGAAGAAATAACTTAAAACATTAACAGACAAATAGGACAGAAAAGAGAAGGAAATTATAGGAACAATCTAGGAAGTCGAACATTATAGGATGAGTTTCAGGAGAGTAAAAAGAAAAAAATAAATGGAAGGAATTATAAGAAAATTTTCCAAAAATTAAGAACTAAAAAATTGCAAATAGGTCAACACCTATGCCAAGGCACATGAAGAAACTTTGTGAAACCTTTTATAAACAGAAGAGCTCAACATTTTCTAACTGAAAATAAATCAAAAAACCTCCATGTGTCACACACAAAGAAATGGGAATCAGAGAGGCATTATATTTTTTCTTTAGCAGCACTGAAAATTAGAAAAACAACAGACCAATGCCCTCAATATTTTGAGAGAAAATGATTATAAAATTAGGATTTTATATGCAGCCAAACTCACATTCTGTGTTACGGTCAAATGAAGATTTTTTTTTGGCAGTGAAAGATTCGCCCTGAGCTAACAACTATTGCCAATCTTCCTCTTTTTTTTTTTCCCCTCCCCAAAACCTCAGAACATAGTTGTGTATCCTAGTTGTAAGTCCTTCTAGTTCTTCTACATGAGCCACCGCCACAGCACGGAAACTGACAGACGGGTAGTGTGGTTCAGTGACCGGGAAGCGAACCCGGGCCGCTGAAGCGGAGTGTGCTGAACTTTAACCACTAAGCCATCAGGGCTGGCTCTTAAGATATTTTTTTGACATGCCAAAGCCTAAAAATTTTACCTCCTTTAGAGCCGTTCCCTGGAAATGACTGGAGTTGATGTGCCAGCAAAATATGGGACTTTGTCAGGAAAGAGGAAGTAGGAGATGTACCACTAAGGACAGGCCCAGAATGACAGCTGCCTGCTGATCTAAAGGGCCCTGGAAGGATGCCTCCAGGACGGAAAAGGAGGAACTGACAGAGAATGCAATGATAATAGATATCTAATCATTATAATAATATATATCATGGGTTTTCTAAACAGAAATATAATTGGTAGGTAGTGGACATCCATAGGTACGATGATAAAAATTCACAAAAGATTCATATAGAACTAAGCAAATAAAGAAATAAGGCAGTTATTTCATTAAGAAAAAGCAAAAAATTGTACTATAAGAATGGAAATTCAATTGTAATACACCATTCAGATTGGCAATGAATATTTATACCCATAAAAATTTAAATACCGACAACTGGTTTAACCACAAATTGTATTAATCATATTGGATGAACAGGGAGTGGGAAAGTGATGGGGGGTGGTTGTGCAAGAGAGCTAAGTCCTCATCACAGATGGCAACACATCACAGATGGACCAAGAAAGAACAGACAGGGAATACTGAGGAACATGGAGATGAATAAACCAGGGAACAGGTAAGAGGGGACAAGCAGAGAGACTAGGAGGGGAAGAGCAGTGGGCAGAGGGCTGCTGCGTTTCTCCATTAGAAGCCCACCCATTGCCTACTTAATATTCACTCTCCCCTTCATCATTAGACAAAGAGCCCGCATCATCAGGTACAGCATAAGCTCACCGAGTCAAAATTCTGAGGACAACACAGACGAGTGAGGAGCCAGACAAGTTCGTATGTCATCTGAGAAGTGCTATGAAGGCACCTGGTCGCCCCTAGAATGCTTTATATTCTCTGAAAAACTACAGCGTTGAAGACTCTTGAAGTTACTTGGGGTTTCTCTTATACGCAGTCAGAGCAAGTCTTAACTGATACAAGCACTATTTGATGTTTTACGTACATGTACAATTTTGACCAAATAATATTTGATCATTAAAAAATCTAATAGAGGGGCCGGCCTGGTGGCATAGTGGTTAAGTTCACACACTCTGCTTTGGTGGCCTGGGGTTCGCTGGTTTGGATCCCGGGCACAGACCTATGCACCGCTCATCAAGCCATGCTGTGTTGACATCCCACATACAAAATAGAGGAAGATGGGCACAGATGTTAGCTCGAGCCAATCTTCCTCAGCAAAAAGAGGAAGATTGGCAACAGATGTTAGCTCAGGGCCAAGCTTCTTCACCAAAAAAAAAAATCTAATAGAAACTATTTGAATGTCCACCCTATGCTAGACAACTGTGACAATTGCTTCAACACAGTATCTCCTTTTGTCCTCACAAAAACCTTAAGAAGTAGGTAATCTGTATATTATTTTACAGGTGAGAATCATCAAAGTTAAGTATCTCAGCTCAAGGTCACAAAACTGGTTAAGTGGCACTGCCCAGATTCTCACACAGATCTCTGCTTCCCAAGTCTGTGATCTTAACCACGACACCTCAGTGCCTCCTGAGTTCTAAATGGAAGACCACAGAAAATGTCCAGCCTCCTCGGTTATCAAAGCTAAGAAATTAATTTTTGTTTTTTTTTGTGTTAAGTCATTTAGTTTTCTGTAACTCATAAACAAATGAGTCCTACTACATCAAACTGACAAATGTTTGTTTTCTTCCTGCATGTCAGTGACAAAGAAGCCTATCTCAGGAAAATGATTTGTTGCCAGGATTTATTAAAAAACCAAAATAAAACCAAAATCTTCCTCGTGAGGTTCTAAAATTCAACTCACTATTCCTGTTGTGTATTTCCAAGTCTGGATTATTCCTTTATTCCTTCAATAAATATTCCACAAGTACCAGCCATGTGCCAAGGACTCCGCTAGGCACTAGGAGATTAACACCATACACAAGGACAGCGTGGTCCCTGCCCTCACCAAGTTCAGAGTCTGGAGGACAATACAGAAAAGTAAACAGCCAGACAAGTTCGTATATCGTGTGAGAAAACTGCTCTGAAGGGCGCCTGGATCATCTTAGAATGCTTTAGGTTCCATGATATTCATAATCTAGATCACCAGGCAATTCAAGTAAATGGATTTTCAGCTAAGTACAGCGATACCACCTAGGACTGGCAGTCCTTTAGCTGACAAAGCACATATTACATCTTGTTTTGTTATTCCTATGTCCTACAAAGAAGATAAGTTCCATAACTAGTCTAGAGCTAAGGTTTTTCTCCCCATTTTGTGGACTCCATCCCCCTTCTCTAAGTACTTAGTTCTATTCCCTCCAAGTGCGAGCGGCCATCTCTGGGCAGGGCCAGTACTTGGCTCACAAGCGTGAGTGTTCACGACCTACTTTCATACAGAAAGATGCCACGGCCCACAGCATTCATTTACATCAGCTGACCACTTTAAGAATCGTTTTGTTCTCAGCTGCTTTTATAACTGTCAACGCACAAAAGTATTTCTAAGGCAGCAAGTCCCCAATGACGCACTTATTACATGAGCAATTACAAAAGTAGTTTGGGAACAAAATATTTATCCTGAATTTGTTTTTCTTTTGCTTATGTTTTCATTCTGCTGTTATTGCTGCCTACAGAAATGCTTTTACTCTTTTATGTTTATAGTTATCTTTATAGCCAAGATTTTTATTAAACGCTTTAAAATACATTTCTCCTCCCACCCCAGTGGTTGGTGTTACAAATGTCTCAGGGTAACAATAATAAAGGAACACGGGGTGATCACCAGGTGCTTCCCGTGCATTACCCTAATCCCCCAGGATAACCCCGCCAGGGAGGCCATCTGACTGCAGAGCCCATGCTCTGCTGATCAGGCTCCAGGGTCAACAGACTGGACTACGTGCCAGCTTGACACTTACTAGCTTTATGATCTGCCGCCAGCCCCTTAGCCTCTCTAGGCTTCACTTTCCTGATCTAGTAACAGACAGTGAAAGCTGCACATTGATAGGGTTGGTGTGAGGAGGTCACACATGTAAAACACTTTGCGTAGGCCCAGGCAGGCAGGAAGATGTCACAAACGCTAGCTAGTGTTTTTATTATTTCCCAATGGCTATGCTATATGGAAATATAAATGGCCTATGGTTATATGCTAACTACAATGAAAGAGAAGTTGTAACAGCCATAGGTCTACAACTTGATAGTTAATATCAGCCATGATGCCAAAACACTTGACAGTAAAAGCACATCTCACTCCAGACAACTGGCTTGGGAGATGTACCACTTTAATTAGGTCGGCATACCCGATCCTCTTGGCCCTTAAAAGGATGGGCTAGGGCCGGCCCGGTGGCACAAGTGGTTAAGTGCGCGCGCTCTGCTGCGGCGGCCCGGGGTTCGTAGGTTCGGATCCCGGGCGCGCACCAACGCACCGCTTGTCAAGCCATGCTGTGGTGGCGTCCCACATAAAATGGAGGAAGATGGGCACGGATGTTAGCTCAGAGCCAATCTTCCTCAGCAAAAAGAGGAGGATTGGTAGATGTTAGCTCAGGGCCGATCTTCCTCACAAAAAGAAAGAAAGAAAGAAAGAAAGAATCCTAAAAAAAAAAAAAAAAAAGGATGGGCTAAATAACTGTTTGTCCAGGGGCCAGCCTGGTGGCATAGTGGTTAAGCTTGTGTGCTCCGCTTCGGTGGCCCAGGGTTCGCCAGTTTGGATCCTGGGCGTGGACCTACGCACCGCTCATGAAGCCATGCTGAGGCTGCGTCCCACATACACCAACTAGAAGAATGTGCAACTATGACATACAACTATCTACTGGGGCTTTGGGGAGAAAAAAGGAAAAAAGGAGGAAGATTGGCAACAGATGTTAGCTCGGGGGCCTATCCTCCTCAAAACATTTAATTAATTAATTAATTACTTTAAAAAAACACAGAAACCAGGTCATCTGGGTTTAAAAAAAAAAATCGTCCAGAAGATACTAGTTAAGGGCTCTGTCCTTCTTCCAGTTATTCTTTTTCTTAGGAGACTCACAACAATATTAAAAGATCAAAGTAAACCAAACCAAACAAAAAACCACTTACAACTTCGTCTCATAATCTTTCCAAGCTTTGTCAAATGGCTTCTTGAGATCCTAAGAAAAGAGAAAATGAAATTGAAATTGAATTTTCTTTTGCTTAAAGGTGAATAAATAACTTCGAAATAACGTCTTAGCAAAATGCTTTCCTTTATAGGACACTTGAAACTTTACACAAGACAACTGCACACACATCACACCATTCACTGCAAGAGAAGCCTGAGAGAACTGAAGGGTGAGCATTCCTAGACGCGTCGATGAAGCAGGACCCAGTGGTTCTGAGAGGCTGGGTCCACAGAGTGGGGCCAAGACTCAGGTACAGATCCCCCTCACCCACTTAGGCTCCCACCAATCTTCTTGAAAGTGTCTCATCTTGCTCTCAGTCAATAACATTATGTGAAGTGGCACATCTTTTCCAATGATCATTTTCCAACCACACTTTTTACGCTAAAAATGTTCAGAGTGCCTTTCAAATACAAGTACCATAATGATCTTAAAAGAGAAAAACTCAATCCTTTTAAGTTAAAGCGAAAATCAAATTTCTGAACACTTACTCCTTTGACTCCCTTTAGGTCTCCTTTTAATAAGGAATCCAAGGTGAAGATCACATTGTGGCTCAGACCCTGGAGCTGAAAAACAAAGCAGAGATGGGAGACAGTTAAACAAAAAAGTGCGAACACAACAATAAACCAGCTCATGTTGACTGAGCATTTCCCACACACCTGGCTGTGTCAGGGATTTACACACACCATTTCTCTGGGCCTGCGGGACACCACCTCGGTCAGGCGGCACAACTGGCCCCACTAGGCACGTGAGCGGAGAGCTGCGATCTGCATCCGGGCAGTGTGGCTCCAGAGCCAGTGGTCTGAACTATGCTGCATTATACGTACACTTGTACAAATAATTCCTCAAACCATTTTTAGAACTTTCCTTGCTCCTTTTGAAATGGTAGATCTTAATTTGACTTTTCTTCAAATGCCTCTGTCAGAGTAAGGAGGTGATTGTACAGCTGGCTTTTACCACCTCCTTTCTAGATTCTTCTCTGGCATTTATCCCTATCTGAAATTACCTGGTTTGTTTACATGTGTATTCTGTCTCCCCCACCAGAACATAAGCTCAGTGAGAGCAGGGAGCTTGACTACCCTACTCACAACTGCATCCACAGGGCCTAGATGCCAGTAAAAAGACAAGAGATTTAGGAAGTGCCATCTAAGCTGGGGTGCAAGTGTTGTCACCGTTCCAAGGCAGTGGCCTGAGTCTCTTTGATTTTAGGATGGTGCAAAGAGGAGTCTACAGGGGAGAGGCAGATAGAGCTGTTACCCAGCTGGAGAGAAGAAGGAGGGGTGGACAACTACAGGCAGACAAGAGTTTATCATATAGTCTGTCTTCAAGGAGATCCCTAGAATTTTGGTGAAATCAGTTGTTTGTCGGTCTGTCCAGCCATCCAACCACCCTTCCATCAGTCATTTACCAGGTACCTGTTCTGTGACACCCACGATGCTAGGGCCTGGAGGCAAGGATGAATAAAACACTGCTCCTGCCTAGAGAGCTCAAAACCCAGGGAGAGACGTAGTCAGTACGCAACTAACACAACCACATTATGATATGACGTGTTGTATTAGAGGTGGAGGGAGAAAGTAGTGTGAGAAGAAAAAACGCTGACACTTATGGGCGTTGTGTGTGACTTTCTTAACCACATCTCAAGGTGAGGATATTCTAACCTATCGTGGACGGCTGCTGTGAAGATGGAATGAGTCAATGTATATGAAAAGTGCTAGCTTACTCCCTGACACCTAGAAAGTGCTAAATACATGTGTACTTTTAAAACCCAATGGGCTGTTAAATATGAAGAAGGCAATGTGGGAGTGGAGAGGGGCAGGAACAGGGAGACCTTCCCTTTGGCTCTTAATTTCTCTCTAACCCTTTCCTGTGGTTCTCATCCCGGCTTCCGCAGTTCACAGGTCATTCTACGAATTGCTCTCCCTGACCAACAACTTTATGCACGAGGAAAGTTTTCCAATGCGTATCACCAGAGGGCTTGGATTAGAAACAACACTCCTTTCTTATTTCAGAGACAAAGAGATTCCTACTAAGACAATTCTATCTACGCAATTTCACCACCATCCAAACAGAGGAAGAGTCCAGCTGGCAGGCTGGCCAACAGTGAAAGGGCCATAGATTCAGAGTCTATGTTGTGTGAGGGTCTCGGGCATTGGTTCCTGGGGAATGGGGTGAAAAAAAATCTTAGATAGTATAATGGCTTGTTGCTTTCCAAAGGGTCACAGAACATAAACTGATACAGAGAATATCTGTGGTATTAAAATTTCATGGGGGAAAGTAATTAGGAAAAAGAATGTCTTAAAAAGGCTCCTTGGGGTGAGGGTTTGCAGGTAATAATAAAGAAAAAAAAAAGGTTGAAAACACTCGCCTTAGGTATGAGATGGGAAAAATAAAGATTAAAAGGATTCACCCTCTGGCCTAGATGGACAACTGGAATAATATTTTGCTCTGAGTTGTCACCAATCTCATTCCTGGGATACAAGCCCCCCGCATCCTGCTATCCTGTGGGTCTTAGGAGTTTGTGTGGATGGTGGGTAAGTGAGGTAGGGGCCTTCCACGAATCAAGTCAGTACCTGTCTTTCCTCTGTTCGTGGAGATCCTTACATTATTTTCTTCCAAACACTTACCATCCCTAACCATTTATACACATACTTGTTTGCTGTGTCCCCAGTCTGAATGCAAGCTCTATTGCGCATTCATTGCTATATTTCCAGAATTTAGAACACTGCCTAAAACAGAGGTGGTGCTCAGTAAACATTTGTAGAATGAAGGAAATACAGAATCATGTGTGTACGAGGTTCTTCTCTACAGGACTGTTGATGCTGATGGAAAGTTTAGTGCTTACCCATAGGGGCCTGGTTAATAAATTATGGAAGTTCTAAACAGTAGTCATAAAAAGGAGAACGCTCTCTATGTCTAACTTTGCAAATATCTCCAAGATAAATTGTTATGTGATAAAAGCAAAGTGTAAAACAGTATTCACAGTGTATAAGGATTTGTATCAAAAGAGGAAAAAATATGTCTATGCTTAAATTATTTCTGAAAGGTTACAGAGTAAACTGCTGATATTGGTTCCCTCCAGGGATGGAAACGGGGTGGGGAAGGACAGAGGGTGGGAGAGGAGCCTTTTACTGTGTCCCTTTTCGCATTTTTGTGTGTGTGTGTGTGAGGAGGATCAGCCCTGAGCTAACATCCATGCCAACCCTCCTCTTTTTGCTGAGGAAGACTGGCGCTGGGCTAACATGGGTGCCCATCTTCCTCCACTTTACATGGGACGCCACCACAGCGTGGCCTGATAAGCGGTGCATCGGTGTGCGCCCGGGATCTGAACCCTGGCCGCCAGCAGCGGAGCGCGAGCACTTAACCGCTACGCCACAGGGCTGGCCCCCTTTTTGCATTTTTTTGGTAACATGTACTATATTGTTTACTCACAAAAAGTAAAAATTCTGAAACAAAAAATAAAGACAGTGATTATCAACTATTATTAACTATTAGTCCTAAATCAGGATTTTCACCAATGCCTCACATCCTTGGTGAAATGAAGCAGGAAAAACAAAAAAATACATTAATGTTATTGCCACCTTGATCTGAAGGCTGTATTACAAACTAACAATAAAAGAATTAGGAAACTCTGTGGTGAGTACTGAATGTAGGATTGTTCAAAAGGAAAAGTCCCTTAAAAGCCATGTACTGACCACACAACAAACACACACTGTAACTGCTCAGCGTCGTCACTGTGGTTAGGCACAGGGCAGGGGGTGGTGGACTGCAGCTGCATTGATGGAAAACCCCAAGAACTAAGAATTTCTTTGTGGTTATCCACACCATACTCTTGGGGGCTGATAAGAAACCAAGAAGGCAAAATGGTGTGTAGTATGAATGCAGAATCTTCCCAGGGATGAGCCTATGAAAAGGCCACAGGAAAAAAAAATTAAAACTTACAAACTCTTCCGTACTTTCCAGGATAAAGTAAGTTGATATATAAAAACTGGCAAAGGAGATTGTTTTAAGTAAAAAGTCAATAGTAACTGCCTGTCAGGAGAAAGAAACAGAGAGAAGTCAAAGAGAAGGCAGACCAATCTCAAGAGGAGGAAACTTTTAGGAAATATTTATTGAGGTGCAGAACTAAACTTCCTTCCTTGGAGATCCCAGTGAAGAGAAAACCTACTTTCTCAGATATTTTAAGGTGTTGCTCTGTGACAGAGATGGATTACATGACTTCACAGTTGCAGGATTCTTTAATTTTCCTGTTTTTTTATTTTCTAGTTCTTTCAGGAATCCTTTGCATGGCCTGAGCAAGACGTGCAAACTGATGTGCAGCAACAGCATCTCCACAATGAGTGCACTGTGGCCAACACAATACAGTAATAACACGGGTGGACAGGCTCCTGTACCACCTTCATTATCTTCAATGGATTCTTAAAAAAGCCTTTCAAATCTATTATCTGATTATTTCCCACTTATTTTACCAAAATTCTGGTGATTACTCCATTCCCATTTATCCAACTTCCTATCTATTTCCTTTCCATTAAGGATACAGTTGAATTAACCTAAGTTCTTTAAATGATTCAAGATTACAAGAGGTTGAAGAGTATGTTTTAAAAAGTGTATCTTTTCCATTTTATTATGCAAATGACACATTAAAAACCATTTCAAGAATGATGTTTGCGTGTGATACATATATTGGCTTTCCAAACAAATTGCTGTTTGCTTCCTTCCTCACAAAAGGGAAATCTCCCTTGGGAGTGTGTACACGTACACATAGACACACACACCCCAACCAGAAATCTGGAATAAATCAGATGAGAGGTGGCTGAGGTCCATCATTCTGCATAACGATGCAAAAATGACTCGTTTAAGCAAATAAGCCATAATTAATATTGGCTTTGATAAAAATAACCATGTATTCCTTACAATTGCTTAAACACTACCAGACATTATACAAACAGCCTGGTAATCCCAGCCATTGGCGATGACTTCACAAACAGTCTTCCTCTGTGCATATAAACACACACACACACACATCATCTGCACCGACTCTTTTTACCCCGTATACCTTTACCACCAAAGAAACGATCTCGTTGTTTCCTGATTTATCACCTGTCTTCTCTCTCTAAAAGCTATGCTTAAGGGGAGGTGTCTCATCTGTTTTGTTCACTACCCGACCAGATCCCCAAACAGGAGCCAAGAAACAGCTGTCAGTCGTCACACTGCACTGTAATTTCGGGCTCGCCTGCAGGGTCGGTGCCCGTCAGGGCCCTCTCAGCAGCGCCTCGTTTTCTTCCCTCTGTGAGAGCAGGAGAGAGCAGCACAGCTCTACAAATGGAACCCCCGAGACACCTACACGCACATGCGACCGTATCAATTAACGAGGTCATCATTTGCTTGCTGTCATCTTGCATTAATTCTGACATTCTCTCTCCACTGCCTGCTGGTTCTCTCCCTCTCCTTACCTTCTACAGACAGAAACCGTTTCCCCTGAAAGTAAGGCTAATGCAAATCTGCTGACTTGCTTGACACATTGGAAAATCCAATTAAAATAATGAGCCAGCTCCCAGCAGCTAATTCA